TATATGACTTACGGAAGAAACCCTCTCTGTTTTGTCCCAAAATTTGTTCAAACAAGAATCATCTGCATCAGGCCCGAAGCTCGCGATGGGTCGGGACTATTACACACCCTGGGCTGATATAGCCATCACTATAAATGGTGCATATCTCGTGTATAGATACAACACTTTTACTAGGCTCCATCTTGATTGCCATACACGAATAACCTGAAGTGGGGAAACAAATAGTAAGACGATGTGTTGGTAAGATCGATCGTTACACACCTCTCGACTCAAGGATATGAACCAGTCATATATCTGGGTAACAACGGGGCAGAATTTAGCCTCAACCTGAATGTTATAGTCGACGTCCGATCGAGGATAACTCACTAACAAGGCAAGGAACGAAACTGGATAGAAATTAGAGGAACGATGGATCAGTTAAGGAGTCCCACAAAGAGAGAAATAATCGGTGAAGCGATCGGAGAAAGGCAGAAAACATAAGAAAGCTTACTAGTAACATACTTGCAAGAGAAATGGCCGCGCAACATGACCGAAATATAAGTGATTAGTTTATCGGGAAGAACGTCGCACTTACGGTGACAATTTTTAGCTGAAGCTCCTCTTTGAGGGTATCAGAGTCCATGCTATCGTGCTTGACTTTCCCAGTGGCCCACTAGGTCACTGATAGCGTATGCGTCCGATGGCCTCTGAGGAAGAAAGGAAAAGAAAGGGATAAAGAAGGTAGTGATTATATTTAGTCTCAAAACACTCACTTACTTAGGTCCAATATATATCCTCTCGCTCGCGTATATACTTACCTGTCCATACAACATGATGATGATCAAGAATCTTCGTTGGCAACTGATACCTTCGAAATCTCGCACTTTGTGTGGTTGAATCTGAATTGGGGCGAAACAAGAACGAAATCTCAAGACCTAGCGGACGGTACGGGCACTGCATGCATGCCACACGTCATACTAAGTATAGAGTTCCGATATCAGAAATCTGATCAAGAAACAAGAACGCAGACTTCGGACCTCTTAGATGGGCCTCAACCTCAACAAAGCCTCAGGATATTCAAGTCAATTATCTTGCATCGTTTGAAATAGTTTGAAATCCGCCAGCTTGCTGTATGGTGTGGATCAGTGTGGATGTTGATAAGGTTTGTAGTTCAATCATCGTGTACATTGCAGATGCATTGAACAAAAGAATGATCGCAAGTATCCTTCATGCAATCCGGATGCGGATACATCATGGATGGATTGAACGACCCTCTTTTTGGACGAGGGTACATCAGAAACAACTACAAGGAGACAGCCAGATCCTTCGAACCAAAGTTGAAACAAGGGAGGGAACACTGGACGGACAATCTAACCATCTCAGTCCATTCAAACATATTAGAAGTGCGAATTACATTTTGGTTGCTAAGGAGGGCCTTAAGACTATAAATCTCCGGGGAGGTATTGCCTCCCTTCTAATCTCTACAGCGTTCCATGGCTGTGACAAGACCAGAGCCATTAGAAAGTATTTATGCAACAAAAGCCTTGCCCTTCTCGATATTCTTCTTGAGCTCAGGCAAGCATGCCTCGAGAAGTTTTTCTTCCTCGGCAGAAAGAGGGCCAATAGGGTGAATCTTCTCAACACCATTAACCTAAAAGAGACATCATTAGGACATATAAAGACAGTCGATTTAGTGAACATACACCGAGCTCTACAGGGGAAGAGAAGAAATCGATGCCCTTATCGGCGAAGAGCGGGTTCTTCACAAAGGTGGGGGTAATGACACCCTTCTCCCCGTTGAGACCCCGGAGGAGCGAGTTAGTAAACTTGGCACCGGCATATGCCATGGAGAGAGTGGCCGATCCAGCACCATCCTTGGCTTTGACAACCTCATCACCACCGAATTGGATTCTGTGCACGAGCTGCTCATAAGTTTCGCCCTGTAGTCCTTTACCCTTTGCAACCTGCGAGAGCAGAGGAACGATAGTAGGACCAGAGTGACCTCCTACGACAGGAACATTACATTCTGAGGGAGTGGTGCCTGAAACGGAAGCAAGGAAACGCGATGCACGAACGACGTCGAGAGTGGTGACACCAAATACACGACTGGGGTCAAAGACGCCGGCTTTCTCTAGTGTGGCAGCGACAATTGGAACGGTTGAGTTGACAGGATTGGAGATGACAAGGATGTGTGCGGTGGGAGCGACACGAGCGACGGCAGCAGCGAGGTCGCGAACGATGGATGCGTTGGTCTATGGACGAAGTTGGGTGCTAACTTCCTATGCAACGATGTACGACTCACATTGAAAAGATCATCGCGGGTCATCTTTGACACACATTCACATTAGAACAAGATGAAAATCCTGAGATTTAGACGCAGGTACTCACTCCAGGCTGCCAGAGAAATTCAGGCGCGGTTTAGAGAAGAGAAAAAGGTTGCTCACTTTTCTTGGTACACCAGCAGGGATAACAACAACCTTGGTACCTTCAAGAGCAGCGTCCAAGTTTTCCATAGCGAACCCATTCACCTAACGACATTAGTCAATTGTGTGACGCGAAGGCTTGAAAGAAAAAAATAAAGTACCTCACTGGGGGTATCAACGTGACTGACATCTGCGGCGACACCAGGAGCTCCACGTATATCGTATAGACTCAAATTCGACACTAATGGATCCAACTTTAACAGCAGAGACAGAGGCTGACCGATTCCTCCACCAGCACCAAGCACGGTGACTTTTGTCTGACGAGCAGATGAAGAAGAGAAAAGACGGGCGGAAGGAGCAGTGAAAGCTCTGGCGGCGTTACGTGCAAACATACTCGTCGTGGTCGTGGTTCAAGTGAAAAATACGGGCAGAAACGGAATTAAGCGGAACTGCAGGAAGAAAACTTTCCCGGCCCGAGGAATCGCTAAATTCTTCCACCACCCCGCAAATTCATATTAGATACTGAATATTGAATCCGCATCTGGATTATTCTGCTGATTCCTATGAGACTACTGGTTTCTTCTCAGTGACTAATAGATGGCTCCAGAGTCCAGGAATCACCAAATAAACAACAGTGCCTCGAGTCTAGGATCTTGACCTTCATCGCTGTTCTAATTCCAACAATGTCTTTTAATTTTCTTTGAGAGCCCAATTTCGTTCCCGTGATTCATCTGTGACTGATCAGGATTGAAATTCGAACTTTCCGATGCTATGAGAAAGGCTTCAAGATACATGCTCTTTCATATGTGAGTTCCTACATACCATTTTCCTGCTCATGCAAGTGGGGACGTCAACGTCGGTAACGTTTGAATTTGCGAATTGAACCTTGAGGGGTATAGAGCTTATTTTGTCGGGCGTACCAAAGCTTGACTGAGGCCTTTGTCGTTCATGAATAAAGCGCTCTCAGATCACACTATACAATGTACAACACAGCCATAGCAGCCATAGGTACCTCTTACATCCCTCCTCTGATTGAAGCCAACATCCTTCAAGAATCCACCCTCCGCCAGTGCCTGTGATGCAGGTAGTCACTACTGATCATGACCGATTTCCAGATCACTGAACACAAACGAAAAGTTGAATTAATGGAGGACGAGTTTGTCAAAAGCACTGACAAATTATGATCAAAGGTCTTTGAATTTCACCGTGAGGGGGGCACTACCACTGATGGTAAATGTGCAAAGGTCGGGCCACCAAGATCCTTCGAGGAAACCCTCAGGTTTCTCGTCAAATCTGAACCTGACTACTCCGTTTATATTCGCCAACGGAGTGCCCTGGAATGTCAGTTCCATCATGTCATCCCCCAGATGTTCTTTAATTTTCTTTGATCCGAATACCTTCTTGATCTGGTTCTCTACTGATATTTTCTTCTCCGGTTCTAAGGCAGATAAATGATTGTGGCCACCAACACCCCTTCCATATTCACTCTCCACCAGGTATGAGAGGGAAATGTGTCGAATAACTGATGACAAAATAACAATAATCAATCTTAATGTCCAATTGAGAATTAGGTGACGAGAGAGCACCTTCTCCAGTACGAGGCAAAATTTCCCGACCATCAAACCGGGATGTTTGGTCCAAAATATCCAACTGCCAAAGGAAAGATTGCCTGAGTCAGTACTGCCAATAATTCATTGCGATACAGTCAATTACAGGTCGAGGTGCCGCCCATGTGATAGAAGCAAGACCGAAGAGGAGAAAAATCGTCGTTGAGAGATGCATAGTGAAGTTGAGGTTTTGCGACAGGATTTATTGTCGTGCAGAAGGGGTCGTCGAATAGTTGAAAGGAAGGTTGGCAATTGGAAAGTAATCAACAAGGCCTCGATGTTTGACCAGCAAAGCGAGGGGAGGGGTGATAGGAGGGTCTGACTTGATCCAATTTATGAACCACAGTAAACCACGCATTTACATTGCATCAGATGGCACTGCAACAATTCTAGAAACATGATCAAAGTAAGAAAATTGACTCAGGTCACCAAGCTTAAGCAAGGGAGCAGAAGGGTTGCCAGTAATTGATTGTTCGCTAAGATGGGACATAGGCTATCAGGATAGTCCGAATAAAACACCCCAGACCCCCCTAGTAGGAAAGCTTAAACAAAAGACCGCCGTCGGCGGAAGCTATGTAGTACGAAGTTTGGGCAAAACCTGGGCAAAACACCCTAAAAGTAATGAGGTCAGCTAGGGTCAACATGGAAAATAAACAAAATTTGCACTCTGCCCGCTTCAAAAATTTTGTGCACTTATACATACCATGGCCGGAGGCAATTCTGACGAAAGTCCCTCCCAAAATCCCGCAGGGTAAATTTCCGTATGGAATCATAGGTTACAATAGGGGTCCCCGAGCGCTTACCACTCGTTTACCAAGCCCATAGGGCTCGGGAGCTATTCGCAAATTCATCTCAAGTTTATGCGAAGCGGATTGAAGCGAAGTAAGGAAAATGAGTGGAAACTGCCATCAATTCATATTGTATAGCCTTCCTTCCAAGTCTATGTAACTGAACCAGAACTGAGTCATACTTCCAATAATGACTTATTGTGGGCCGACTAGCTCAGCTGGTTAGAGCGTCGTGCTAATATTCATACAGAACGCGAAGGTCTTGGGTTCGATCCCCACGTTGGCCATTGAAGTTTTTACTTCGATGTGAAGTGAAGTCAATGCAGTAAGTGTCTTTAGCATCTGCTTACGATGTGCCAGAACCATAATCTTGTCGACAATGATCCTAACATGTTGGCGCATTTTGTCCCGTTGGATCCCGTTTCTCGCCATGCGTACGCTCTATCGTGCGAACATCTCCCTCCCGCAATCTTGAATCACTCTTTGCGTGTCTGGGTCTACGCAGCGACGCTCAGCGGGCTTGAGAAGCTCTCTTCTTCCCGACTGCCTCTGCTATTCACTGCTTGTATCCTCCATGATATCGGTGCTACCCCTGCTTTCTCCAACTTGGACTCGGAGAAGCTTCAGCGTTTTGAAATTGAAGGAGCAGACGCGGCAGCGTCTCTTTTACGAGAAGCCGGAGATTCTTCCTTCTCACAAGATGATATCGAAGAAGTTTGGCGCGCTATAGCTCTTCACTCTACTCCCCAAATTCCAGAGCGAATGGGAGGGCTGGTTCGCATTGTTCGACTTGCCGTTTTGAGTGATTTTCAGCGAGGCACTGTTGCTGGGAAGGAAGGGTTACAGGAAGAGACCGAGACTCATTTTGAAAGATTGGAAATTGAAAAGGTTCTTGGGGATGCTGTGGTTCAGCAGGCATTACGCAGTCGAGTGCCAGAGGCAAAAGCCCCGGCCGCAAGTTGGCCTCACGACTTATTGAGGGCACATCGAGAATATCCTGAATGGGAAGGAGTTAATAAAGGCTTTTAGCGTGCGATGTCGCGGTTCTGATCACACAAGTTTGTTTTGTGTGAGTCTGCCTAGGGGAGTTTATGTTGCGGGTGCGTCGTGGAATTCGGGAACCTAATTTACAAGCATTCATAGAGATTTGCGGTGCTTGGAATTATCATGGCCTTGTAAACTTCGATTGAATAAAACAGAACGAACCAGCCATGTTCGCTAGGCTAAGATCTAATGTCCGTAGTCACAAGAGTCAATCCAAGTTTCCATCTAAATGTCCAGTAACACCCTTCTCCAGATCGATTTCAGAATCCGTGCCTTCTCCTGCTCCGACAGCTCCTCTCAATCCAAGCCCAAACAATGGACGACGTGAAGGTTGTTGTTCATCGGGGATGCCTTTGGTTCCAACATGTCGGTCTCGTTCTCTACCTCGTATCACGTCAGCAGCTACGTCGATTGCGGGACGCCGACGACTACGATCTGCCGTTAGTGGAAAGTCCTTGGTCTGTTGCGTGCGTAGCTCTTTCACTCGATCGGGAATGATCATCGTATGAGCGTCTGTGCTTCTTCTCCGCGATGTTTCATGTGTATGTGTATGTGTATCGTGCGGATAGGTAGTACCTTCCCTATTCTGGATCTGAGCTTCGATATGTACCCGAGTCCTTCCACCATTCCCGAAACCATTCGAGCCATAACTTTGCAGTGTGCGCACTATGAGAAAAAAGTACAGCATTCCGAGGAGGAAGACGAGCGTGATAGCGATTCGGGGGCCAAGCGCCGCCCTGTTACTGAGCGGTGCGCGTTCATCAGGATCGGATTCGGCACCAGTTCGCCAGACGAAAGACAAGATCGATACGATGAAGAGAATCATGGACCATGACATCCACGCTGCTGGCATTGCAAGTAAAATCCAGACATTCCACCAAACTACTGTCTTCGTCTTCTGCGCTTCCTGTGATTGGAAAGGTGAGTTTAGGGATTGATTGTGAATGGATAAACAAAGATCATACTTCAGCCCAGATAGAAGCACGATACATACTCCTCATCGTCCCAAAACGTACAATATACATACATCCGTATGAAAGGCTCATAATAGCACAAATTAGGGAAAGCAAAGCAGCGGTTCTCGTCAGGGGGTCAGTCGCAGCATCTTCAATTTGGAACATGGTTAAGATAGCACTAGAGTTGTAATTGTTAGTCATGGATTTCGTCAAAGAAAAGAATTTCGTACGATAATAATAAAGCAGATACAACATTCAAAGTTTTCCATTCTCTCATCAATGAGTCTATGAACGCCTCCCAAGAAAGCTTGAAACGTATAAGCGACGAGGACACCAAAGGGAGGCTCCATTCCTCTGGTAAAGGTAGCGGAAGGTCGACTACGGAAGCTGCTGCCGCTAAATTTGGAGCAGATGTTGAACGCAGGTCAGCACCGGCGGTAGTGCTTAAAGTATTATTGGGAAGCGGCATCTTCATGTTTATTCCTGTATCGATATTAGGGGCAGTCACAGTTGCGTTTGTTTGACTGTGTTGGAAATGACTACCACCCCTTCCGCAGGCATCGATCATGCGCTTAATATCAGGCTTGCTGACCTCTGCATCTTCAAAAATCCGCGCAACACGCGAAAAATACATCGACGGAATACGCAAGAGCAAATGTAGATAAATCAACCGCGGAAGAGTGTCTAGGAAAAAGATACGTATCATGTGAAGATCCATGGAGTGGACATGGTTGGATTGATGTACATGGGCAGCGAATGCGTTATCCTCCCTTCGAGTATGAAGGTCGGCCGAATAATGAGCAGCCTCAGTATGATGAGAGTGACTTTCAGTCTTCATCGGAAATCCCTCTGGGTCAATGGTATGGCTACGCAGTTGTTTCCGGATCCACATCGGAAGATGAATTCTGGGAATTCCGAGTCGCGGAGGGAGAAGAAATTGGGATTGAAAAGGATCAACTGGAATAAAAGGCTCTTCGTGGTGACTGGTGTGTGTTCGATGATGGATACCTTGAGACCATTGCTGGAGTATCCTAAGAGGCGACGCTGCCCTGGAGCGAGAATGCGATGGAGACCGGGAGCCAGCATTGAAATGACCTTCTTGTTTGATGACGTAGTCGCCGGAAACAACATTAGAGGAAGCAGTAGGATCACTGCCTCGGCGAAGCCGATGTAAAACTGGTAGAACAGTCAGCATACACAGTATAATGAAAAGATCAACGATATTGACCTTGTCTAACGCTTTGCATTGTAGGTAACGATGTACGGTCGCTTTCCAACGACGCCCGCCGAGCAGTGTCATGGTCGAGAGAGCCCTCAGACGCGCTGACACGAGGTCGTCTTGCATCTTTGGATGTTCCATTTTCAGCATCTGGAAGCGTTGGGCTGAATCCAGCAAATGACTCCATATTGTTTCCAGACTGGGATATACTCGGCCAAGATCTCGACGCATCAAGACTATGTCTAAATATACGAGGTGACTGGCCATGATTATTCAGTATAGGAGATCGGCCTCCACGATTGTTGAGATTTGGGCTGACTATCGACGGGGGCAATGCAGATAGTTTGTCAGAGTAAGTCAAAGTAGAGGTGGCGTTAGAGTCTAGTATGAAATGTTACATGTATACAGTAGTGATAGTGCTAGTGTAGACTCACCTGGAGAAATGGACGGAGGAGTATTTCCGTCTTCTTGCAAAGAAGGAAAGAGCATAGAAGAAGGCCCGAAGTCTTCTCTAACGCGACCTACGCTAGTTTCAGCAGTTTCCTCCACACTCCCAGCCACTAAATTCTTTTGCGAAGTCATCGTGATACAGTGTGCTGAGCTTGGTTGGTATTGTGGATGGAAGTTGTTCGTCTGGTAGTGAACTTCAAGTACTTATTTACTCGATTGTCCTTCCAAGGCTCGAGATGCCATAAATATCACAATAGTAGGAAGAGAGGCTGGAGCTAGAAGAGCAGACAGCTGTGCATGAACGTCGTACGCAGAGATTCGAGAAAGATAGCTGGAAAAGGAACCTTTACGCGTGACGCAGCAGCACGTGACACTGTGTAATCATTGACAAAGATCCGGAACCGCGTTTTTGAGTCACTCAGGCTGGCACCACTCTCTTCAAGACTTGCACTTTGCAGATTTCTGACTCGAGATTCTTCCAACTACTAACTACTACCGCATAATGCCTGCTGTCCGATCCCCACCTCAACTTATAGAGCTAGACAATGAAGCTCGCGTGATCTACTATCCTGCAAGCCAAGCTGAAAGGGCTACTTTCAGAACGATTAATGGAAAGGTAGGTTGTTGTGAGATCTGTACGACTCATCCGGCGTCTTCAATATTATCATAGTGCTTGACTGAGCACCAATGGAATGTATACGACTTTACCAAGTCAATACCGAGCGGACAAGTATCGACTTACGCTGAGGTATGTCGAGCTGTTGGAGGCTCACCTCGTTCAGGTACAAGCTCGTTCGAATACTTTCAATCCTCTTCTCAGAACCATTGATACAATCACACAGTTGGAAATGCACTTCGACACAATCCATTTGCGCCATGCGTCCCTTGTCATCGTGTCATAGCCTCCTCGCTCTACATCGGAGGCTTTGTTGGCGAGTGGGGTCCTGATAGCAAGACCAAAACGCAATATCATAGGAAAGTGGCGATCTTGAAGGAAGAAGGCGTGATATTTACAGAGAAAGGTTTTTTGAAGGAGAAGGAGCGAGTTTGGAAAGAAGGCGAGAAATCATGTTGAGGAGTACTCTTATGGCAATCGATGCACGCACTTGTGAGATAGACGAAGAATACTATACTTTGTGTGTACTTTTTTCTGTTTTTGTGTCAATCGATACAACGTGCAGTATGTACCGTTGTAGTGCCACCTGGGTTGTGACTTGGTTGAAAGGAAAGATCGATCTGCGTTTCTCTAAGGTCCCGTTGAAGGGTATCCGCCTCAGCGGGAGGATTCTATAAGTGCAGGACATGCATGTTTGATTTTACTGACACGCATTCAGCTAGAGAAGGCCTGGGCAATTATTGAATGATGAAAATTGACATCATTCAGAATTCCAATCAAATATCAACCACCACAATCGCGCCTCGACACTGTTCACCTCAAAAGCCACTCAAAGACGCCGCACTCACCAAAGTTGACTTGCACTCCCTTCTCCATAAGGCCCTGGAAAGTAGCATCAGCAAGTCCATCTAGTTGCCATTTATATGACAAATATATTCGTGTGAGGCCTGGGTGTCTGATTAGTCTCTACACCTCTCGTGCATGAAGTAGCCAAAAACATGC